TGTGCAACTTGTTATGAATGATGACTAATTAATAATACGATATAATTGTATTATTTGCTATTTTTGCTAAATTAATATTGTATAAATAAAAATTTATACTAAATGTATTATATGAGTCTATGGAATTATAAAAAATTTAGTTGGAGAAAGCGAATAGTCTCATTATATCGTTAAGGGAACTAAACTACATCTTTCGAACTTTTAGTGAGACAAGTCCACTCAAGATTTCTGACCTTGCATCCAGACATTCAAAATCAATTACTAGATATTATGTATCAAAATATCAAATAAATAGCATCGTGAAACAAACCAATAAGTATACAAAAATACACGAAATGTAAAAATAGGTACTATTTAACTTAGGTACATAATATTTTTATTAACATAATTTATAGTATACCTAGGTAGTTATAAATCGCAGACTTCTATAGTAACTATATTATAGGTACTCTTATATTATTTATATTGATATCAGTGAAGCTCGCACGGGGACAACCACCGTTTTGTTGGTTGGCAAAACATTGGATGGCATACATAAAATGTATATAAGGAATAAATATAAATTATGTATATATTCTATATCAAAATTACTAAATGTGCTTGTAAAGGAATAAATAGAATTATATAATTTATTAAGGGTGAAATAAAATAATAATGATAAAATGATCTATATAAAATAATTTTTTTTTTTTGTTACAAACAGCAAGTATAGAATTAATAAATTACTCATACAACATCAATTAATATTTACCATAAAATTTATGTATTATCATGTATGTATTTAATACATACATGATAATACAACAAAATATTTGCCAATCAAGAAAATGCCGGAACCTGGCTTCAACTAATGCCCGGAGTTAATTATCTAGTTAGTATAGAAGTCTGAGCTATAAATATATAAATATTAAATACGTTATCAATAATAATTAAATTGTTCTCCATAGATAAATTCTTCAGAGCAATGAAAAGTGAAAACCTGCCAAGTTATTTTAATACGTCAACCGTGATCCGTATGCATAATTTTTCAGGTATTAAAAGTTAATTCATAGACAACTTTATACTGAGCTGTTCTATGACGTAAGGCCGTAAGGGGATGCCAAATGGATAAAGTAGCTTAGGACGGCGAATTTTTTTAAATGTAAAAAAAGCATAAAATATTATTGCCCTAGAGCAGTGTTTCCCAACCTTTTTCCCTCACGGCATACTAGTTATAACTCGTCATATTTATCCGTATCGCCTATCATAGCACACTTGACACTGACTTATAATACATGTTTTATATATATTTATTTATGATATTAGTGCATTAGGAGGCTTTCATCATATTATTACAAAAAGTTGCATATCAGTAATTACTATGGCAAATAATTTAAAATAGTTTGTTTATTTAGGTTAGAAAATCTTATGTAAAATCAAATTTTAGATTCTGAGCGGAGCGATGAATGTATTGATTTTACCATGATGTGTGTTTTTTTTTTTTTGTGTCT